CGGTCCACTCTTGCTCGGTGAATTTCTTCGTGAGCGCATTCTGAGGCTCGATAGCCGTCGGAGTTGCCGCACTTTCGGCCTCAAGCCTTGAAGCGGGTTGAGCGGGTGCAGCAGTCGTTGTCGCTGTAGGGGCTGCCTCAACTGGGACAGCGGCAGCTCCTGTGTCCGTTTGTTCTGTCATGTCGTGTTGGCTGTTGGCGGTGAGAAGGAAGTGGAAGTTGTGCGAACGTCGCAGCTTCGACGCAGCCTAGCACTAGCGCGGATACTGTATGGGAACGGAACATGACGTTTCTGATAAATACTTATCTGATAAAAAGGGTTTTCAGATAAGATGGGCGGGCGTTTGCCGCTGTAACGCAGGTCGGGCCTTACCAAGGCTGTGTAAGCTCCCACATCGACCACACCCTTCCACAGCGCAGGCGCACCGAATCTCTTCCCTAATATTTCCGGCCAGTACGGCCAGCACTTCTCGTTGTCTCCTACCTTGTCCTGATACTTCCAACTCGCCATGTCTGCGTTCTTCACCAATCTCCTAGGCACCGAAAAGGATGCGCCGGAGAGCAAGCTCGCACTCCCGCTCACTCCGGACGAGGAAGGGTCCTCTGGCGGGCTTAATCTCTCGGAGAAGAGTGAGTTCCGGATAGAGGGGATGACGTGTGGGGCTTGTGTCGAGGTGCGCACGCTGCATTGTCCCCATGGACTCGGCACGACGCTGAAGCTTTCCGCAGTCTATCGAGAGTGTGCTCCGGAACCAGCCTGGGATTCATTCGGTCAAGGTCGCCTTGCTCGCAGAGAGAGCCGTCGTCGAGTATGACATCGAGAAGTGGACCGTAGAGAAAATTGCTGAAGTGAGTGCAACCACCGGTCAATCTTCCAGGTCTGAGCTTGACGGAGCCTTATTAGGAAATATCTGACATTGGCTTCGACGCTACGCTGATACCGCCGGCTCGATCTGATGTTGCCACACTTCGAATATATGGCATGACATGCTCGTCTTGTACTTCGACGGTCGAGACGGAACTGGCCAAGTTACCCGGAATTAACAGCGTCGCTGTCTCGTTGGCCACGGAAACATGCAAAGTGGAATTCGACCGAGGACTTGTCGGACCTAGGGAAATAGTCGAGCGCATCGAGGAGCTGGGCTTCGACGCGATGCTCTCTGACGAACAGGATGCAACCCAGATGCAGTCGCTGACGCGCATGAAGGAAATCCGAGAGTGGAAGACTCGCTTCTATTGGAGCGTGTGCTTTGCGGCCCCAGTCTTCTTCATCAGTATGATCTCAATGCAGATACCATGGCTACACGCCTTATTTAGCACGCGATTATACCACGGCATATACCTCGGCGACTTCATCATCCTTTTACTCACCACCCCGGCACAATTCTGGATCGGCGGCAAGTTCTACAACAACGCTTGGAAGGCTCTGAAGCACGGCGGCGCGACAATGGACGTACTAATCATGCTTGGTACCTCTGCGGCATACTTCTACTCCCTCTTCGCCATGCTTGCCGCACTCTTCAACACCGACCCGGACTATTACCCCTTCGTCTTCTTCGATACCAGCACCATGCTGATCATGTTCGTCTCGCTCGGCCGTTTTCTGGAGAACCGTGCGAAGGGTCGCACAAGCGCTGCACTCACGGACTTGATGGCGCTCGCTCCATCCATGGCTACTATCTATACCGACGCACCGGCGTGCACACAGGAGAAGAGGATTCCCACGGAGCTTGTACAGGCTGGAGACACCGTGAAGTTGGTTCCGGGAGATAAGATCCCTGCTGATGGCACTGTGCTGCGGGGCTCGTCTACGGTTGATGAGAGCGCCGTCACCGGCGAGCCTTTGCCGGTGCTCAAGCAGCCAGGCGACAGTGTCATCGGAGGTACCGTCAACGGGTTGGGAACGTTTGATATGGTGGTCACGCGGGCGGGCAAGGACACCGCGTTGGCGCAAATCGTCAAGCTTGTCGAGGAAGCGCAGACGTCCAAGGCACCCATCCAAGCTTTCGCCGACAAAGTCGCCGGATACTTCGTCCCCACTGTCATTTCACTGTCTCTCATCACCTTCACGGGATGGATGATCATCTCACATATAGTTGGCGAGGACTATCTTCCTGACATGTTCCGGCACCACGCCTCCAGACTGGCCGTTTGTCTCCAGCTCTGCATCTCAGTCGTCGTTGTCGCGTGCCCCTGCGCCCTTGGTCTCAGTACACCGACTGCAATTATGGTCGGCACTGGCATGGGCGCGAAGAATGGCATCCTTATCAAAGGTGGTCGTGCTCTTGAAGCTAGCCGTAGTATCAAGCACATCATGCTGGACAAGACTGGCACAATCACCGAAGGCAGGATGACCGTCGCCCAATGGTCTTGGGCTCACTCCGAGTATGAAGAAGTCTATGACGACGCCCGTGCCCATGTTGATGGCAGCGCTCCTCTCCCGGACGCACCACTCTCGACGCTCGTGCAGGCCGACCTCACACGCGCAGACATCATTGCCCTCGTCTCGGCGACGGAGGCGCGTTCGGAGCACCCACTCGCCAAGGCCGTTGCGGCGTACGGCAAGGAGGTTCTTGGCCGTGCATCGCTCAACTCGCGCGAGGTCACCTTGGAAACCTTTGAGAGCATTACAGGTGCAGGTGTCAAGGCCACCGCAACCATCGCTGACTCCACAGGGAGGTTCACTGTTTTCGTTGGCAACGCACGTTTCGCTTCGCAGTCGGATGAAGTCCGGCTGCCCGCGGCGCTCTCGACGTTTGATGCTGTTGAAGAAGATCAGGGACGCACTGCCATATTTGTTTCAATCGCGACAGCGCCGTCGACGCACCCGACCATCGTATGTGCTATTGCGCTCGCGGACGCGCCCAAGCGGTCATCGGCACAGGCCATCAAAGCTCTCGAGGCCATGGGTGTCGAGGTTAATATGATGACCGGAGACGCGAAGGGCACTGCGTTGGCGATCGCGAAGCAGGTTGGAATACGACCCGACCACGTTTGGGCGGGTATGAGTCCAAAGGGTAAAGCGGCCGTAGTGACGGAGCTCATGGAGAAATACGGCGGGGGTGTTGCTATGGTGCGTGTTTCTGAGCTCTAGCACTTGGCCCATTTAACGGGAATTTGATTAAAAGGTTGGTGACGGTATCAACGACTCGCCAGCACTCGTCGCGGCGTCAGTCGGCGTCGCGCTGTCATCCGGAACCTCGGTCGCAATCGAGGCTGCTGACATTGTCCTCGTTCGCTCCGACCTGCTAGATGTCGTCGCCGCGCTGCACCTCTCGCGTTCCATCTTCGCGGCCATCCGGCGGAACCTCGTCTGGGCGTGCGTCTACAACGTTCTCGGCATCCCGCTCGCGATGGGTCTCTTCCTGCCTGTCGGCCTGCACCTGCATCCGATGATGGCCGGCGCAGCCATGGCGTTCTCTTCCGTGAGCGTCGTCACGAGCTCGCTCATGCTCCGTTTCTGGACGCGTCCGCCGTCAAGTGTTCTTCCCGGCGAGGTGGCTATGTCGGAGGGGACTCTGCTCGACGCGCTCAAGGCGGCACTCCATGAACAGTGGGACGGCTTCAGGGACCTGTTTAGAAGACGCAAGGCGGCGGGATATACCCAGCTACCTGTGGAAATGAATGAAGTCTAGCTTGGTGTACTTGCTGCGTCTTTCGATGTATCTCTATTCCTATTCTATCCTGGTCGAGCATTGCTTGGACCCGATTCTCATACTTTCTTGTAATACTAGTAATTTTTTCACGTTGGGATGTCGGTTCCTCTGGCATGGAGTATGGTGGACGTAGGCTCAATTTTTCGATTGCAACCGTACTTTTTTTCCTGGCTGGTAAGACACGTGCTAGTCAATCTTCTGTAGATCTATCTGTGTTCACGTATGGTTACGAGTTATTTATGGCTGTTAGCTTATCCCTGGCCTCGAGTAGGATCATCAACTACAGTATGTTATCGCTTTAATCCCAAGCTTTCCGCTCAGATATTCCTGCACAGTTCCAGCTGCAGGTTGTGCTCACTAACCGCTGTCCAACGTTTAAAGATCTTAGCTCGTCGATATGCTCAGCTTTAATGTTGACTATCTCCCCGCCGCTGCCTCTTGCACAGCCTAGTATACCTCCTTAGCCGCAATGTCTGCTTGAGCCCGGGTTTCCTCTCCTCTGCCTCCCGCCAAACTCGGCAACCACAGATCTCCCGCTTCTCGCGCAGGTATCCATGTATCACCCATCCCGCTCGGCGGGTCGCCTCGCCGTGATGCATTGATCGGTGCGCCACAAAGCTTGTGAGCTGTATCGTAGTGACTAATCAAAGCGTCCACTGTGCCAGCATCTCGAAGTTTGATCTGCTACAATTGCCGATACATCGGGAATCCGACTTTGCGAGGTCAGACTCATCCACGGATTGCCGAGCCGCAGCACGAGTTATTAAGGCCCTCCGTCGCTCTTGACATTGCGGATGCCGAGGTGCGCGGCCTCGCGTCCCCTCGCGTCTGTCGGCATGAGATCACGTAAACCAACTCGTTCGCAGCGGAAATCGGCTGTCCCGCGAAGAGCTTCCTTTCTGTGGTGGGAAAGGGATTTTTTTGCGCACGTCGCCACTGAGGATGCCGACCAGCACACGTCAACCCCTGCCGTGTCCTGCTATAGCCCGGTGAGCCTGTGACTCAGCAAACATTCCAGAGTAGTCATTTCCCGCACCACTGGATTCTCTTCTCTCAAGTCACTCTGTCCCAGCTAGAGCTATGAATCGTCCTCAACCGCTGGGCTACATATAAAACCTCGTCGACATGCTCGACATTGACCAATTTCACATCTCCCCAAACTCAGCAAATACCTCTTACTGTCATACACACAATGTCTGCTTGGGCTCCCCCTCCTCTACCTACCACCAAGCTCGGCATCCATAGGCAGCTTTCCTCTCGTGCGGGTGTACATGTCTCGCCCATTCAGCTGGGTGCCATGAGCATCGGCGACAAGTGGCATCCGTTTGGCTTTGGCAGCATGAACAAAGAATCCAGTTTCAAGCTGCTGGACGCATTCTACAGCGCCGGCGGCAACTTCATCGACACCGCTAATGCCTAGTGAGTCGCCGTTTGGTTGCGCAATGCCCGACGCGCGGTGACTAACGTCCTCACAGCCAAGACGAGTCTTCCGAGGAATTCCTCGGCGAGTGGATGGAGCAGCGCGGCATCCGCGACCAGATTGTGCTCGCCACCAAGTACACGACCAACTTCCGTCGTGGAAAGGGCGGCCAGCACAGCACCTTCGTCGGCAACAACGTCAAGTCCATGCACGTCTCCGTCGCTGCGTCCCTCGAGAAGCTTCGTACCGACTACATCGACATCCTCTATGTCCACTGGTGGGACTATGCCACCTCTGTGGAGGAGGTAGTGGACGGCCTGCACACTCTCGTCCAACAGGGCAAGGTCCTGTACCTCGGTATCTCCGACACGCCCGCATGGATCGTCGCGCAAGCGAACACGTACGCGCGATGCATGGGCAAGACACCGTTTTCGATCTACCAGGGCAAGTGGAGCATCATGGACCGCGACCTCGAGCGCGACATTTTGCCCATGTGCGTCGCCCAAGGTGTGTCCTCCTGATCCACGTTGTCCTGAACGTATGCCGACGACTGGCTCATCAGGCATGGCCATCGCGCCGTGGAACGTCCTCGCCGGGGGGAAAATCCGTACCGACGCCGAAGAACAACGCCGCCTCGAGTCCGGAGAGCAGGGTCGCCAGCTCTTCGCAGACTGGAAGCGCACGCCCGAGGAACGCAAGGTCTGCCTCGAGCTCGAGCAAGTTGCGAAGGAGGTCGGAGCGAAGGCTATCACGTCGGTCGCGATCGCGTGGATCATGCAGAAGGCGCCGCACGTCTTCCCCATCATTGGCGGGCGGAAGGTCGAGCACCTGCACGACAACATCGAGGCGCTGTCGATCCGCCTGAGCGACGAGCAGATCGCGCGCCTGGACAACGTCGTGCCGCTCCACAAGGGATTCCCTTACGACCCCGGCTTTGTAAGTGTTTGGTCCATTTATGCGTCCGCTGGCAGAGCCACATCTAACTTGGGTTGTGCACAGGGCGATGGTGAAGACTATGGTTTCCTGTTCAAGTCCGCCGGTCACTTCCAGAAGTGGCCGAAGGCTGGCCCTATCAAGCCTGAGCCCTCGACAAAGTAGGCGTGAGGTCTTGTTTACCCGGTTGAGATGAGGTACTGTCAGCGGGTCTGGAATATATTGCCTCGATTTCTACTAGCGCCGACGCTGTCATTGTGTAGCTTATCGTATCTTTGCGGCGAATCAGAGATGAAGTCAGACATGCGTTGCCGTCACTTGAGAAGACCTCCACAATTGGCTCGCAAATTTACTGTATGCGCTACCCCAGTGGGAAATGCTGCAACTGGCGAAGTTTCAACCTAAAATCAATATAGCTGGTAGAATTCGAGGCTTCTTCCTAAGAGCATACATGTATAGACTTTCCGCGAGCTGTAAATTAAAAGACCACCCGCCCATCTGCATCAACGCTCGCTCTCGTAAATTTCACGAAGCAAAGCTATAGCTTCCTCTGTAATGTCCTTCCATTCAGTGTTGCGCTCCATCCTCTCCTTAGGAACGATCTCGAACCGGTCGCCGGCCCACGGTCCCGTCACAAGTCGATCCGATATGCTCTGCGCCATGGAGCAGGAGTTGTCCGTGGACCGACAGCTGCAGGAAAACAGATTCAGGCCGAGGTCCACTTCCGTCTTGTCGTCGCCATCAATTTTGTTGAGCTCCATGCACGCATCGTTCCTAACATACTCTCCCTTTGACAGGTTGCAGAGCATCAAGTCTCTAGCATAGATGTCGAGTCTAAGCCC